ACCTATCTGAGGTCCCTAGTCCTCAAATTCATAGAGACAGAAAGTAGGATGGTGATTGCCAGGGGCTGGAGTGAGGGGATGGGTGTTAAAAGAATTTCAATTTTTCGAGATGAAGACAGTTCTGGAGATGGGTGGTGGGGACGGTTGCACAACTATGTGAATATCCTTAATACCACTGAACTGACACTTAAAAATGGTTAAGAGGGTAAGTTTGATGTTATGTGTATTTTGCCATGATTAAAAAAGAGACAGAAAAGTATAAAACCCATAAACCAGAGAGCCTTCCCTAGCGCCCACCATGGAGACGCCAGCACACACCCCTCTTGTCAGAGGTGTGCTCTCCCTCAACAGGGGGGCCCTGGCAGGGGGCCCTGAGGACGCTCGTGCAACGGGCTCTTTGATTCTAGATGAAAATGCCTGGAATGAAGGTTCCGTCCCCTGGGCACGCCTCATCTCATGTTCTTCTGCTGATGGCATCAATCCCTTGGAAAGAAGGTTCCACAGTGTCTGCCTCCGCCCAGGTCTCTCTCTTGAGCCCCAGGCCTAGCTGCCACCTGGACACACTGAATAGGCCATTTCCACCTGGGACAGGTTCACAGCACCTCCATGCCCTTTGCCCCCACCCGTCTCTATGGGGTTATCATCCACTAGGACCCCCAAACTACCAGGGAACCTCACAGACATCTGCAATGCTTCACCCTTCTTCACACCCAAGTCCGACTAGTTACCAAACCTGCTGATTTCACCTCGAAAATGCCGCTGGCCTCTGTCCCAACTGGCAGGAAACAGATGTAACACAAGGAAACAGTTTTAATAATCAGAGGCCCCAATGTGGAATCAGCAGCTATGTGTGGCCATAAGCAGCCTGTCTGGCAAGGGCTGTGCACAGCTGGCAAAGCTGGCGAGGCCTTGTCACCAGGTAGATCCTAGATTCTTATCAGGGTGGCATTTACATCCCACATGACTTTAGCCTTGGCCCAAATCACCCAATGCCGCCCCCATTTTCCCAGAGGCACCCAACAGATGCTCCCACACCCCACTACCAGCAGCCTGCATGGTAAATTCAAGACGGTTAAGCTTGGGTTTAGGTCGGTTGTGACAAACCATTTCCACATCCGCTGCTCCTCAAGCCTGCATTACACAAGGCCAGCCCCCACCCCCCGGGGGGCAAAGCCGAGGTGTGCCTTGAAGGGTTTTCCTCCTGGGAGGCCCAGGAGCCTGTGACATGCTTTTGTCTCGTGGGCAACGGACTCATTTTTTTGGTAATATTGGGCAATAAACAGAACCTTTAAAACACAAAACAAGTAAGAAGTTTTTCAAAAGCTTTCAGGAAGGAGGTTGGGGGCAACAAGACAGATTGCCAATGAGCTGTCTTTCCCTTGTCACAGCCAGGAAGGACCCTCAACTCCAATTCGGGAAGAGTATGCTTATCCTGACCTGCCATCCAGTGGAGTCTAAGTCCACTTCTTTGAGAAGACTTGGTACTTCCCTTAATTGCTTTTTAGGAAGTACTTACAGATGACCAGACATCACATCTGAGATTGGCTTCAGAATAATGCAGCATGAGTGTGTACACGTGTGTGGGTGGGTGTGTTGACACTTGCAGCTGCTAAGGGGACCTTATACTCTTCTCTCAACTTGAGTGTACGTTTGAAATTTTCCATAACAATAAAATTTTCATTAAAAAAATTTATATGCTTCTTGAAGAGAAGGCTAAGGTGATAAAGGTGGCCTACTGTATCCGTTAAGGGCTTGGGCACCATAATTGGGGTTGGAGATTTGTGCTACAGCTCAGCGGTGATGAGACCTTGGCCAAGTCACATGGCCATTCCAGCCTTAGTAGAAGGTGGATGGCAGGAGAACCCGCTTGCTGCCCAGGGTTCTTAGGAAGAAAACAAGGGTTAATGTGTCAAGGACTCAGATCAGAGCACATGCTATAACACTTTTTTCTTCTATTATTATCATTATTATTATTATTAATTATTTATTCTCATCATCAAACAAGGTAAAACATCCATGAAGCACTTAGCAGCAGAGTGCCTGGCACCTGGCTATGAGTGGGACTTTAATTCTTAGATCGAGAAGGATGCTATCAGATAACTGGGAAAACGGAGAGCACTGGGTTGAAAGTCCAAAATCAAAGTCCCTTTAAGTCTGGATTTGGTTGGTCAGGCTTGCAGGGGACAGAACTGTGGACCAAGCCACACCTATACTTGCCCTAATACAGATGCTCATTCTCAAAATTTTCAGTAACAAAAAGATACACTGATTCACGCACACCAGCCACCACCTATTTCCTGAGATGAGCTGGTGTGAAATTCCCAGACTATACTTGCGAACACCATAAAGATCAGAGGTTTGGCTCAATGTGAAAATGCATCAGCAGGCAAGTCCCTGCTCACCTGGGAGGAGAGGTAGGTGCTAGGGACCAGGCACAGCACAGGGAGCACAGCATCCAGCGTCCTCATGAGCAGAGGGCAGCGCTAGTCTCCACCAGCTGGACCCCCAGCCTGATACCCCCGGCCTCTGTTGGAGAAATTAAATATCTGTGCTAATAACAGGGGCCGTTAGTTTTACAAGGCATCCCTGGGGAGCCCACTGAAGCATGGTTTCAGCCTTGCTGAAGTAGCCCAAGGAACGCAGCCTCGTGCAGCTACAAAGTGACATCACTTAGGGCCCCTGGCAGGGCCACTCCTTCTTAAGAGCCACGGAACCCCCAGAACACACTGACTCTCCCCAGAGCCCCAAGCTCCCTGAAGCCAAGTCTGTCCCTGCTCATGGCTGTCAGAGCCACTGAAGTCAATGTGACACTGCTTTTATTGTCTTTTTCCTGGGAAAGAAAAGGAAGATTTGTAAAGTTATTGCATTAGGCCACGCCACATGTATGCACGCACACCACACACATATACACTTTCTCCATCCACTGGGAAAAGCATTCCCTGCAGAAGAAAAAGCAGTTAAAAGAACAAGAGGAGTGCTTAAAATGATCTAATCCAGCCCATCACTTTACAGCTGGGGAGGCATGAAGTGCCTAGCCCATGACCTCAGCACTGGGGACAGTAACCAATGGCAATAGCTAGGATTCTGGACACTTGGTCCATAGCCCTGGCTATGCAATTTGGGTAAGTCAGCTACCCTCTCTGGGCCTCTGCTGGGAAAGGAGGGTTGCTTAGATAGATGCCCTGCAGGCAGGATAGGGCTTTCCTAGCTGCTCAGTTCCTCACCGGGGAGAAGCCTGCCTATGCCCCTAACACTTAACCCAGCACTTCCAGCCACCCAGAGTGGGAGTGTCAGGAAGGCATGGGGCAGAGAAGGGAGGAGCAGCCTGCCCTCTTCCTTGCTGGCTGTTCTCCTCACACCCAGCAACCAGGGATGAGGTCTGGACCCCCTCCCCACTCCTACTTCACGAGAGAATTCTTCCAAGGACAAACCTGAGTCACCGGGATGGTGCTTTTACCATCAACACCTGTTAAAACTCTACTCATGACCAGTTTCTGGTGCTACCGGCTGGAGTGTTTAATTAAATATTACTCACTCAGGAAGCAGCCCCTGCCAACTCACCCCCAAACCGTGCAGTTCATCTTCAGAGAAAAAGAGGGAGGGAGAGGCGCCTGCAGCCTCCTCAGCTGGCACCAGCAGGGCTTCCCACATCCAGCACAGCCCACTTGAGAACCAAGAGACCAAGGTCAGGAGGTAGCAGCTCCACTGCTAGATGACCATGGACGGGACACACACATTCACTCACAGAGACACACACACACCCTACACAGACACAGATGCAGTCAGACAGACACACACTCACACAGATGCACAGACACACACACGTTCACTCACAGATGCACTAAGATACACACAGATGAGCTCTGAAACACACACACACAGATGCGCTGAGACACTCACACTCACCCCACACAGACACGTGAACAGAAGTGCACTCTGACACACACACACACACACACACACACACACTCACAGGCACACAGACACACACAGAGAAACACCTCAAACGCACACATACTCTCTCACACACATTTACTTATTTTCACAGACGCACACTCAGAACACCCACACAGATGGGGTCAGAGAGACAAAGACACACTCACACAGACATCGTACACCCAGGCACACGCCACACTCGCACATACACACAACTTGCCACCTCTCCCCGCAGGCCAAGCGGCCGTTAGCGTTTACCTTGAACTTGAACAGGACAATCACCAAGTCCCCACACACACCCCGGGCGCGGGATGACCCGTCCCACAGTTCCACCGACGGACCCAGGCTGCTCGGGTTTTTCTGATTTAATCGATTTCCTGACATAACACTCGACTCTCCCCTAGTTGCCGGGAGAAGCCGCGGCGGCTCCGAGGCGGCAGGGAGGGCGGCGCCGCCCGGCGGGCTCCCCGGGGGAAGCGCGGGGAGCCGGGCTGGGGAACCCCGAGGGGGCCGGTCCCGCCGCGCTGCAGATGCGGGCCCCGACTAGCGGGAAAAGCGAAACTAACTTCGCCAAGCGGGAGGGGCAGAGCGGCGCCCCCGCCTCGGCCGCGGGGACTGTCGCGGAAACGGAGGCCGTGGGACGCCCAGGCACCTCGAAGTAGGCGGGAGCCGCCGTGCACCCCAGGCCCCTTCTTCTTGTGTGCAGCTGCTAAGACTCAACCCTGGGCGCGACGGGCGCCGCGGCCGCCGGGACCCCTGACCTGTCCCGCCCCCGCAGGTTGGAGCCGGAGCCGCCGCGACCAGCCCGCGCCTGCAGCGGCAGCCTCTGCAGAGGCTCTGGGCGGCGCCCGGCCCCTGTCCGTGGACCGGCGGCGAAAGAAAAACTCCCCGGAGCCACCGCGGGGGCGCTGCGTTCCCCGAGCCCCCCTACAGCTCCCAGTCGTGACCCTCACCAGGTCCCCAGTGTCGGACCCCGCTTCCACCCACTCGGCCCCCAAGTGCCGCGACCCCCGCGCTCACCCTGCCCGGCCCCGCAGCCACCCGGTCCCCGCGCCCGGCCCTACCTACCGCTCCGGGGAGGCCGCCGCCGCCCGCTCTCCGGGCCCGAGAGGCTCTGGGCGCCCGGGCCGCGCCCGCCGCAGGGAGCGAAGTCGCCTCCTCCCCGCGGCCCCGGCGCCAGCGCCTGGACCTGCTTTCTGCTGCGAGCGCGCGGGCTGCCCGAGCGCGACTTCTGTGCAAAGAAGAAAAAGGGACCCAACGCTTTAAAGTGAAAAACGAGAGAAGCGCCGGGGGCGG